TCTGCATCACAGGGCTGTCCTGCCTGAGGCCAGGGAGATGGTAAGAGGGGAAGGTACTGGCTGGAGCGAGGTGCAGGCACAGCAGGCACTGGGCTACATCACAGCTCTGCTAGGGAATGCCTCCTACCATGCTGGTGTCAGTTTTGGCTCCAAAGGAAGGGATTTCGGTCTTAGGACTGGACGGGGTCCCAACATCTGGCTGGATAAATCCTCTTCTGTCTATCAAACTGGAAAACAGAACAGGGAGGGCACAAGGGGAGTTAAGGAAAGGAAGCCTCGGCGCAGCCGGGCGCTCCCAGCCCGCAGGGAGGGCTCTCCTCGGGGGAGCTGCCAACCGAAGCATCGGCAGGGGGGCGCTGGATGACACGGCTCCCTGCCCGTGAGAGAAGCCACAAACGTATCACAGAAGCCACCAAACAGCCTTTAGGCAGTTCAAGCTTGAGGTCACCACAAACCCAAAGGGGAACCGGCAAAAAGTCTTTGCAACGGGGAAACCACACGAATGAGGGAAGAGCTGGAGGAAAACACTCTTCTCCCCACAACCTCCCAGTGCGCCGCTGGGCTCCCTGGACCCGCAGATTTTACCAGCTCTGAATGGCCCCCCTGAATCCAGCAAAAAGCTTGGGGGCACTTCAGAGAGCAGGGCCAGACGTTAAGCGTTAAAACACCCTCTGACTCCAGCTCCACAGCCTCACACCCCCTCCCCTGCTGCTGCGTCAGCACCTCCGAGACCCTCCGCGCAAATCCAAATTGGATCCACGGAATAAACTTGTCCCAAGGATCCCCACGTGCCCTAGGACAGGCTGAGAGCTCCAGCGTGCGGGTCCTCAGCTCCTGCAGCACAGCGCCAGGGGATGCCGGGCCTGGCTCTGCCCAATTGCACCCTCTTGTGACAAAGCAGCGAGAACCCTGGGCTGCAGGGACCAGGTCCCAACGCTTCCTTACGCTGCAGAGAACTGCCCACCTCGGTTTAACATCACTTCTGGCTCACTCACGGGGTAAAAGCATTTGGCAGGAGGCTACTGAGCATTTCAGGTAGTCTAAGTGTTGGTAAACCCCAGGTTTTTTCTGGTGCGGATCTCTGCTGGCTGCTTGCCATGATGCTCGATCCTCAGAGCACAGGAGGAAAAACACGTGCTCAGAAGTGCTGCCACTACTGCTATTTATCATCTGCTGCCGAGCCCTTCAGTGCCATTACTCTCCCCTCCCTGAATCGCAGGATGTGTCTTATCTGCAAGCTCCACGGAACACAAGCGATGGGAACTCGCCAAGCTCAAACACAGGCGAAGCAACACTTATCCACCTCTCCAGCCTTTCTCTGCAGAGACTGGGAAACTGCTTCCTCATCGTCATCGAAGCAGAGGTGTTTGTGCTGGCACAATCTCCCCTGAATCGTGGTAAATGTGTCCTTTCCAAGGCCCCCTCTCGCAGAGCAGGATGCAATTCCCAACGCCGTGGAGGTCAAAGGCTCTTACCTGGGATGGAACGGTCCGCACAGCACCGCACAGCAGTTTGTGAGGATACTTTTATGGCTGTAGGGATTGGCAAACTCCGAGCCCCTCTTATTTGACCAGGACCCTTTGATCTGAAAGGGAAAGCACACACACGGATTAAGACAGGAAAGACACGACAGCAGCTAATGACACGATAAGGGACTCGGCTCCAAGCCTTGCTCAAGAGGCAGAAGGTTTGTCTTACTGCAACCGTCCTCCCTCGCTTTGCTTTAACAAGCAGGACAGCTGCAGAAAGGCAGCCAGAGGAGACAGCAATATGCTGCTCCTGCCTCTGCCAAGCTTCAGCCTTGCAGCTAGAAAGCTCCAAAGCTGTGCCCTCCCCGTGCTGCGTGGCAACTTGTCAGTGTCACCATCTTCAACGCCAGCTGCCTCCTCCTCCTCCCTCCTCTCGCTCCCTCCTAGGCTGAAAGCCCATCAGAGCAGGGCTCCAGCTCGCGGTCCCTCCTGGGCTCCTCAGGCTGAACAAACAACAAGGGGATTCCCAGACCATGCTGCGACGGGAGGAAACAATCTCATCTGTCCCCACCCCGAGCAGCTGTCACGGGGACTCCTGATTCCGAAACCCCGGTCACATCAAGCGTGGGCACACACGAGGGGGGCAGATGCTATACCTGGCCTCAGACCCCTGGCTGCAGCGAACCATTTACCGTGACATTTCCTCCCTCTGGTTTTACTTCCTCTCCCCAGCTGCAGCGTAAGGCTGGCAACGCAGCCAGAGAGGCAACGGGCCACGGCGCTTCGGAGCTGGTGCTCCCAGTACCGGGCTGCGACCTCCATTAGCTCCACTTACACGGCCTTGCGCCGCTCTGCCAACACCTCTGAACGTGACAGAGGTGGAGAGGAAAAAGTATGAAAAAAGGGGGGGGATGCAAACATGCCTTCTGCAGGGCTGGAAGCTTCCAGCAAGGGTAACAGGTACTTCTGGCCAGAAGGGTGAATTTTGATTCCTTCTGAGGATCAGACAGATCCTGCTTTTCCGTACAATCTGCCCTGCTCAGGGTACTCATTTGGCCCTCGGAGCCTGCACGCACCCCAGACTTCGAGGTAAATCTCATCAGGAGGCGTCTGCACGTTATTTGCCTGTTAGACATGAGGAACTGACAGAGACAAAGGGACTTGCCCGGGGGGGCGCTCAGAGGAAACCTGTGGTTATGCAGGATGCTGAATTAAGATCACCCATGTCCCAGGCTAACACCCGAGTAAATCTCTGGGGCCGGCCTTCCTTTTTCAGTCTCAGAACTCCTAATTTTAAGACACAGACTGGAAAAAACACACACGTGACCGTTGTAACGTTGCGGCGTGTGACCCCCCGTAGCCTGGCGCCGTGTTGCACAGCTCCCCGCTGCTCTGCCCCCGCTCAGCCACCCGAAACGACAGCCTAAACGCCTCTGGCTTCGCAGTGGGTTATCAGAGGCAAGGAGATACCGCGTTGAGGCAGGCAGCCAGGGATCCCCCGACAACCTCACCTCTACTCAGGAAGGACCAGGGCCGGCCCCGCGGAAGGACAAGCGTCCAGGTACTTACATCTTCGTTCGTCGTCAGGTTGGAGGCGACTAAATAAGTGTGAAAACCTGAGAGGCCCAAAATAGACCAGACTGAGAAGAAACAAATCACCAGCTCCAGCACAGTGAAGCGAAAGTCAAGGAAAAAAAAAAAAAATCATCCTGCAAGGAGGGGCAGAGGACTGTTTTGGGAGGTGTGTGCTGTGACCACGCACACCGAGGCACGAAAACGTCCCAGCGAGCTCCCCATTCCCCGCGCCGTTCTGCAGGCATCCACCAAGGCACAGCCTGCTCCAGCCTCTTCCCTTTCCACGTAAACTTGCACACTGGGAAAGAAGTTGGTCACCCCCCTCCTCTTGGTCCCTGGTGGTGAACTAAAGGTCTTCCCAATTTGGTGATGTTATCAGTCTACAGACGAAGAGGCGCCTGCCTGCCCCAGGTAGCTAGGGGACTAAGTAAGTTGTGGAAAGAACAGCAGGGCGACCCTACAATTGCACCTCTCTGTTACATGGTTAGTGTTGCTGCACCAGGGCTCGACAGCCTGAGCAGCTGATGGGGTCAGAAGGATATCTTGCAGGTGTCGTCTTCAGAGTGGCGAGGAATCCATCTCTCTGAGAGCCTGCAAAGCGAAACGGGACAAGGAAGGACATCCCGTCAGGCAGCCTCGCAGCTCCGGCCAACGCTTCACTCCCAAGCATGCGGCCACCCCCCCTGCGTGGACCATATGGATCTGCTTGGCTGCCCCAGCAACATCTGCAGCCTGTAACTTTGCAGAAATGTCACCGCACAGACACAGCTCCAGGACATTTGGGGCTGACGGGCAAGTCACCTTCCCCGCCAGGTTAGGAGCGGGCTTCCCTGCGGTCTGAGACCCGGTTTATTCAGGCCACCGACCCTGCAAAGCCTGGTGTAAACCAGCCAGACCCTCCCCATGCTCTGCCCAACAGGAGCAGCGACCCAGGGCTGCCTCAAGCTGTTCGTGGCCGGGAGCACGGCACCCATCGCCACTAGCACCCGCGGTACTTACGCAGAGTGAGGTGGGTGACGACGCAAGCGAAGATGAAGGCTGTCAGGAATTTATTCAGGCCACCGACCCTGCAAAGCCTGGTGTAAACCAGCCAGACCCTCCCCATGCTCTGCCCAACAGGAGCAGCGACCCAGGGCTGCCTCAAGCTGTTCGTGGCCGGGAGCACGGCACCCATCGCCACTAGCACCCGCGGTACTTACGCAGAGTGAGGTGGGTGACGACGCAAGCGAAGATGAAGGCTGTCAGGAAGGAGAGGGAGAGGATGAAGGCATAGAAGTAGCGATAGTTGCGCTTCCCCACGCAGTTGCCCACCCAGGGGCAGTGGTGATCAAACCTCTCTGAAACAAAAGGGACACGGTGAGGACTCCCGCCACCTCGCACCCCACCCCCTAACAGAGCCAACTCCGCGGAGCCTCTGAAAACCAGGCGCTACGAATGGAGCTGCCACCCCACCGCCCCGAGAGCGGAACCCCTCCGCAGCAGTACGTTAGCGAGAGGTTTCAGTGGAGCCGCCTGCTCACATGTCCTTCTTTATCATCAAAAGCCAAACCACTCCTCGCACCAAACCCTGCATAAATACAAGCCTTGTGACCAGTAACATCTACCATGACTAAAACTGAAAGAGAGCAGGGAAAGTGCGGCAGTTTTTCCAGTACCGAGCAGCACTGGGTGTGTGCACGCAGCATCGCTGCCTCCCTTTCCACGTGTCAGCTTCCTCCGCCTTCTTCGGGGCAGAAAATAATTTTCAAAGCTGTAAAGAGGTGCCTCTCAAACCACAGAAACTGCCTGGGAAGGCAGGACAGGTGCAATCTCTCTGGCAACACTCCCCACTGCCTTCTAATGAAAGGGCTGCGTTTCAGACTAACAGTAACCATCCGGCGGGGGACGCCAGCGCCACCGAAACCCATCGCACGCAAAGCAGGCACATGCCCGCTCCCCCAGACGGCTCCGCTTCGAGCGCTGCCCCGGCTGCTTTCCGGCGAGCTGGTCCGGCGTCAGGAGGACTCGCAGCCCCCCACGGCTATCCCCAAACACGC